CGACCAATTTAGATGTTGATTCTATAGGGTTGAATTGTTTCTTAGAGCAGTCTCGGACATAAAAAAGAACGTGACGTGGCCGTCCTGATTTGAAAGAACTACAGTAGTAACATGTAGTAACAAAGGAAAACAATTGAAACACACATGAAAAACATGTAAAGAAACTTGATTTTATAGGGATTCATGCTTTTCAGGACTAGTTGAGGGTAACTTTCTTGATTCTATAGTGAAGAGTATCTATGCACTGCACACAAGGTACTCACGATTGAGAAAGGCAGCTTGGGGAGCCAAAGTAGTGGAATGCTTCAAGCACATCTCGGATAGCTTGGCCAAGGGCGACCGGCGTCCATTACTGAGTTTGCTGCGGAACATTTGTGAGTGCTTTCCTTACAGTGCAGGAAGTGTGTGAAGGGCGAAGGGCATGTTGCTGTTTCACTTTAGAGCAGAACGGAGCAGGACGATGGGGCGCCTGCGAGAAAAGAGAATCTGTTGTGCTCATTGCTGATCCCATGTTTCTGGCTATATGTTCAACTTTTGATGTCTCAGCAAAGGGCAGTCTTATAAAAAGATTTTTCTGACTGAGAGGAACGTTGCACATGTTTGTTGCCAAATTTTTTTTTGGCGTGCTCTGTTCTCTTGATGTTTGCTGGAACCCATTTTATAGGGATGCCATTTTGGTGATGTTGTTGAATCAAACGGGCTCCTTTGCCTTTGAGTGGAAGTGATTCTATAGCGTGTCTTGCGGTCTTGCCGTTTCATGCATTGTGATTCTATAGGCTGTTCCCCCCCCCCAACGAGGTTTATAGGCTATAAAATGGTTGACATGGGATCGACCCCCAATTCCCAGGGGGATGTGTTGGGCATGGCTGTGGCTCACAGCTCAAGCTCCTCAGGGCGCTCTGCCGAGGTCCTCCATCCACGATGCTGAACGATTTGCACAGCAGATCGGCCAGCCGTTTTTTTGTTAACAGACAAAAGGGCAAGCTTGAATTGGCTTCGGGGCAAGCATGCAGTGTTACCTCATTGTCGCTCAAAAGGTGAGAGTCCATGTGTTTGTTGCCTTGCTGGGCCAAAATGTTGCGACCTTTGCCCTGGTGCATGCCTTTAGCTGGCCCCTCTCCAGGTATGCAAGACATTCGCAAAGCTCCCGAACAGTGGCAAACAGCAAAGCCGGCACTGCTTGAATCCTTCAAGAATATGAGCTCAACCCCCCAGCACTAAATTGTGAACATATCTCAGCTTGTCAAGCTTGTATGTCAACTCTATGTTTGAAAGGATTTGCTTCACTGTGTGTGTGTTTCCTTTTTGCCATATCTCAGCCTCAGCGAGAACTGCTGTGAAGATTTGGCAGGTTTCATAGTGTTTGGAGAGACGCTCACAACCTACCAGTGGATCCTATAGACGTACCGCGGCGTTGGAGTACTGAAGAGATTTGATTGCACAACTAGTTTGGTGGGCATTACCCTTATCGACGGTCAATTTATTGTTGCTGCACAATTACATGTTGCCGAGATAATCCTGCTGTTAGTAATTAGATCAACTAGCTTTGCGACGACCATATTCTTGACATTTCTTGACCCCTTGTTTCTTGATGGACTGACCATGCCTCACCCGAGGCTGAGATCAATGAATACTACCTGTTTCATGGCAAGTGCCTCAGAATCGAAGAGAAGATCAGATTTGTAAATACAGTATGCATCACTATGTATCCTGCTTTTGATACCAAGCTTTTCTAGCCAGTAGGATTTGCTGTTGTTTTGGACTGGAGAGCATGCTTTGCAATACACCTTTGAAGTGAAGTCACAGGACGTTTCGAAGAGAAAAGTTCCGAGTAATGAACAGTTAGAGTTGGCCTGTTTGTGATCATGGGTGCTGAAGCAAGAAATCTGTCAGGGTACGAAACAGTACTCTGGTGGACCAGCATGTGTGGGATGGTCCAGGACGGTTGAAGGCAAGTGACGTGTGCGAAGGTGGTCCGAAGTGCTTCATGTGGCCCTGCAATAATAGAATCGGAGCAGTCAGAACTCGTTGTCGTGGCTGCACAAGGGAGTCACAGTCAGTCTGTCGTGTATTTGTAGTGAGTGAATTGTCTAGAAAAGAGTAATTAGCTGGCATTGGGGATAGAGAGAAAGGTACTGTAGCCAGCAGCATAGGAAGCTACCCAAGCATTGGGAAGCGTAGAGCTTTTCTGGCGAAAAGTCGCCCAAATAGCGAATTAGTTCTTGCTTACAAAATGACCAAGTGCTCAAAGTAGGATATGGATTTCTAGAGAAGAGTAGCCAGTGGCAGGGCCAGAGGCAGAAGCAGAGAGTGATCAAGTCTAGATCAAAAGCGTTGCTTGTCATCGGGGTGTGTGCGGTTGGCTGAAGTATCAAGAAGGTGGACGGCTGTCCACCAATGACATTCGGGCGCCGCTTCACTGTGATGACACCGTTTTTTCCCATTGATTTTGCTGGGAGACATGCCATCACGGGATTTGTCAGGTATGGTTTTAGGATGGCCAATAGAATTTAAAGCGGTACAGAGGGCAACGGTATGAACTCACCTCCGTCACTTCATCACATTTCACCATACTACACCTGCACCCCACCACAACGGAAAAATATACTTAAACATATATAGACAACTATATACATTGTAGTTTCACACCTACATCACAAACTGAAGCAGCACACTTCCACTACAACATCGAACATGATCATGTGACACCACAAGTAATCATCCTTGTTCATTCATCACACACCAGCGACATTCCTGTAAGATTCAGTGTTTTGAAACTCCCGCCCACCAGTTGTTCTGGAGACTATGTGCGGTGCGGTTGTAGGGTAATGCACACGTTCACGGAAGGCTCATTTGCAAAATGAACATTTTTGAAATTGCATGCTATATACAAAAGTACAGATATGGCACCTATGGAAATAGTGCTTTTTTTGTGGCCCGTGCCAAAAGACATGTTAATCAGAGCTGAAGGGTCACTGAGTGGTTGTCCCTGGAGGTACTAGACCTGAGGCTGCCAACGCCATTACAGAAGGCTGGTTCTGGGCAGTACGGGTCTGCTTTGTGCTTGCTATAATTTGTGAATACGTTAGCAGCAAAGTCCGTTTCTTGCACTTGGAAATGCAACGGTAGCCTGTGATTAGTTTCTTACGTACCTTCTGCCACCTCGAAGTAATGGCATGTCAAAAGCAGCGGTTGGATGCATAATTTTACTTGGAATCATAAACACAAGTCTCCAGTATCATGTCCATTGATGTGTGTTGTTCTATGTTTCCTTGTCACGAAGACCACGGTCAGCCGAACAGCAGGCGATTTTCGCTTGGATTTGGCGGGATCGAATGTGCCGTGGCTGCGAAACTTTTGGCAGAATACACTTTTTGTGCAAGAGTACCGAGGGGTATAGGCATGTAGGCAAGAACGTTTTCATGCCAGAGTGTTAATTGCGTTATTTTTTGGGTGTATATACAGTGTATATCGTACACAGTTTTTTTTGTTGGTCCTTTATGATAGTTTCTGAAGTAAGCTGCGCCAAATTGTTGCTTTGTCCCATGTTGGCAAGTTGAGTGGGAGGAATTGCTGACAGTACTGTACACTATTGTACACTTATGTACATGTGTTTCTTCATTTGCTGGTACGATACGGCTAGGCATTTCAAGGTTTGCAAGGTAGGTCTTATGTCACTGAAAGCACTGCTTTGAGGCTGGGACACTCTATGGCCGAGGTGTTTACTTCAGTCGCTTCCTCGAAGATGTTCAACATTTCAACAAATTAAAACACATCATGGGCAACCTTCAGGCGAGAGCACCGGCAAGAGCGACGAGTGCGCATAGCAATTTGCACAATGAGCAGTGGGACAGGCAGTTATGTACGCAGATCAGCGCATGTTGTCTCCATGTGACGGTCTAGAATGCACTGGCGAGCTGGTGTTGAAAATCATGTGGTTTTCCACTGCAACGGTTTAGCGGATCGGGCCGATCGGCAGGTACGCAACTGAAGATTCCAGAGGTGTGCAACCTGTCATGTTTGTCGTTGTCTTTGTGCTCCCGATGAGGCCATGCTCGATCTGCCCAGGTTGGTGCTGCATGTTGGTTTGCCGGGTCACCCTAGGTCGGATATTGTCCGAGCCTCAAGACGTGAAGCCTCAAGACGTGTGCTGTTGCGTGACCCTGTTGTGTGTGAGGTACACTGATGAAGAATATCCTAACACAAATGCATTGGTGAGGCAGAGTCATGTCGGTCTTGGGCCCATGTTTTGATGTTCTGAAATCATCTGAAATCACCATACTAGGTTTTGACCTTGTCATCACACAGATTGGTGCAAAGCCGCATGGGGCATTGTTGTCATCAAGAACTTTGCAGGCATTGCACCAAAGGTGACAACCATTCAGTCCTGGGTGATCGTGAGCAGATTCGCAGCACGTCAAGGAGCTAAGTCCTTCAATGGCGTTGTAATGTGAGTATACTGCAAGTTCCACATAAAACAATGCCAACGAAATCACAGAACGAATGACTGAGGTTCCGGGAAATGATCGTTTTCGACACTGATCAGGCAGCAGTATGAATGGTGTTGTCTTGCAAGTTGGAGTGAGGTGGCCTCATATATTGGCTTATTTGTGTACTTTGATCTATAGTGATATCAAGGATGCGGATGTTCTTACGCATAGTTGAATCATTGTATTCATGATGCTCACAAATTGACGACTGCAATGTCAGCCCCCGTAGGCGTATCCTGAGTTCTTGGTTTGGTACTCAAGGCAGCACTGAGCCACGGGCCTTTTTCACAAACAATAATATGGCACAGACACCTGAACCTGGGAGTTTGTTGCTATAAAATATATAGACATATCATATACAAAATATGTTATATTAAACAATCATCTATATCAGATGGCTAAATAAATTTATGATATATTATATAGTATATATATATATATTAATTGATATATAATGCTAATTGAATGATTCTTTGCCGGCCAATTTCTAGATATGATGGTGAAATTTATTGGCCTTTTCCGAATGCACGGAAATTATTAATTTCTACGGGATGATAATAATAACGTCTTGAGGAATAATATTTTGTTCTAAAGGTCTGAAAACCTGGATATATTGGAGGGTTATATATAAATCGGTCGAATAGATTGGCTCTTGTTTGGTGGATTGAAATATGTAATTTTTTGTTTAATATTTTTATTAGATAATATTATTGATGGGCGGTTGGGATTTGTTTTTGAAATTGATGATTTTTATTAATATATATGTTATTTGATATAAAATAATTTATATAATTTTGGAAATTAATTATATATATATATATATTTGAAAGAAAAATTAGTTGATAAATTTAAACGGATTTATATTTATTGGTTTGGAAATATAATAAATATATATTGTTTTTAATGATTAATAGATTAATATTATAGATAATATTATGTTTTTAAGAATTTTATTTAGATACGAGAACATAATATTTATGTAATATATACGGTTTTAAAATAATTTATATGTATGATATTTATTAAATATAATTTGTTTTTTAATATAATTAAAGGATTATTAATTATATTTCTTTATGATATTTTCGTAATAATTCGATTTTAATTAATTTTAGGGAAGATGGATTTTATCTAAATAGATTTATTTGGAATTATATTTGAATATATTATAATATATTTAAAATTATATATTTATTAGCTTCTGTGACAGTGAATGTCGAGCTACACGCAATTATGAATGTGGGATTCTATTTCCGATTTCGATTATGATGGAATACACCTTCCAGGCAGATCATTTTCCGATAATGCCTGTCATGCAGAAGGCCGCACGACCCTCTGCTGATACCCCTAGCTCGTGTTCCATTCCACCACCGACACAAGCATTGCCAGGTATTCGACCTGATGACCACACCTCGCAGACGAGGCTTGAGTTGGACGCAACTCATCCCATGATTGTAGACGAAACCAGTCCACAGCCGACTCCACTGCATGCCTGTCCACACTGTCAGACCAGATTCCTGATTGCCACAGGACTTGAAAAGCCTGTATCAACACATGGACATGAATTGCAAGCAGATGGACAGCTAGTTCGTGCTGCCAAGATTCCGAAATTCGACACGGTTCCGATCATGCTGAACAAACCGTTTCAGCACATTGAGGCACCTTCGAAATCGTTTCAATGCCCGCATTGTTTGGAAACCGTTGGCAGAAAGGCCTTGGCCGGTCACTTGTCTCGAGAGCACAAAGTTGAGAAGCAACCTTTCTTTATTTTTCGCCGTAGTCGGGACATGACACCGGGACGACTGGCATGCGCACACTGCCACACGACATATACGATTGAGGCTGCACTTCGTTTGCACTATCAGAGAGCCAGCTGTCCGACCTTGTTGATTGAATGGGTTAGAGATCAGCATTTTGGACCCACCGTTCCGCCTTCGGCACAGTCTGAGGCCCACATGCCGGACGACCCTGTCCACGCAGATCGGACACACTCACCAACCTCAGGAAGGACCGTCATGATCATCCATGAGCTGTGCATGCCTGCAGACACGCCAGAATACCCCACTGATATGACCTGGCCCTTGCTCACACCGGCCTCCATGTCCGTCGAAATTGCTTGGCTCATTTGTATACACTCCCGCACGTTGATCTTGAGGTCATTCCGCATCTTCGCCTCCTGGATTTTTGCCAGATGGTATTTCCATGTCACTGGGCTTGGGACTCAGTGGAACAGGACTTGCTACAGTACACTGAAATTGAGTTTCATTCGACAGCTTGGATTCAGCACTTTCACTTTCAACAACTGCTGTTTGAACTAGAACACGTACTGGCCCAAGACTGGTTCCTCCGGTGTCTGCTCTTGACCTCATTGATGGAACGTATGAGCGGAGACGATCAATCTTTTGCAGAGCTGATGGATCTTTGTGGCAGTCATTTTGCAAAGAGGCCCAGAACCGAGGAGGAGGAAAAGCCATCCGACCGGCCACCTACTCGCAAGGGGCAGCGGAAGCCCTTGCGCTCATCGGATTCGGACTTGGGAGACGGTGGAAATTTGATTTCAATGCTTGCCAAGTTGACCCTTCGACAGGAGGACCAATTGAACCAGATTCACCTCGACAAGAGCTTCATCTTCTTCGTTCAGGCAGGAAAAGGCAGCATCCTGCCGCAGATGCTGAAGCTGTCCAAGGATTGGCATGGGCAGAGGGAATCCGGCCACGTCACGACCTCCCTGCGCCAACACATGCTCCGATCCGTGTTCGAGGAACTGGCCTTTCGAGCTTCGAAACTCCCATTCGGGTCAAACGATCACGAATTGATTCGAACCCTTCAGAGCAAGCAGATATTGACTGCAACCAATTCCTGTAACTACCTTCAATAGGATCCCAACGAGAAAACCCTGAAGGCCACAGCCCGAGATCCGCTTTCTTCCGAGGAAGCCTCAACTTTGATTCAGAAGATCCATACACTGGCAGCTCAGACCGATCTGATCCACAGGTTTTTGGCCTTGAAGCCTATGCCTCAGGATTCGACAGTCAAGGATTCAGTTGTGGTGCCCTGGCGTCTGGACATCTCGTTGAGAGGCCAGGCTGCTCAGGAACTATATATTCCCTGCTGAAGTTGACCGGCAGCGAACTGACGCAACTGATCTTTGTTCGAATCCGACCGTCGACACTGCAAAGATCACCATTGGTTCAGGCCATTGCAGCTCGCTTGACGAGATGAAGCAGGCCATTTTGGCCCTTTCCTTGGGGAATGTCAGAAACGTTTGCTACATGAATTCGGCTTTGATTGCCGAGCTCTGGGCTTGTTGCGTGGATGACACGTTCGTTTGGCATGATGTGGGACTATGGAAAGATCTTTTGATTAGATTGCTTGCCCAATCCAACACCCATCAGTTGTTGCCGGATGAGCATTGCTTGGGTCACCTTTTGCAGCCATGGTACAAGTGCCATCCAGTGGGGAAAAAACAGGATTCAGCTGAGTTTGTTGGCTGGTAGATACGCCTTGCATGGGATTTCAAGGGAATACGGAAGACCCGTTTCCAAATGGGAAGCAGGGCTTGAGGCCACAACAGAGGACTCAGGCTTGCTCTATGCACCAGTCCTCCTTCAGCAGACGAAAGATGGCGACTGCACCATTCAAGATCTTGTGAACTTATGGCATGAACAAATCCCATTTCATTATGGATGTTCGGATTCCACCACGACGGTGTGCCTTCAAGTGAATCGGTTCCCAACCTTAGGAGTCCGGTCTTTACAGCCATTTCGATGGAACAGAGTCTCCGTCCATTTGCCGTGTTTCATGCATGACCAAGGTTGGACTGTACGATGGAAACGTTTTGAGATAGTTTCTGTTGAGGTTCACCGAGGTGTTGAACCCCACTCCGGCCACTAACAGGCCTGCCTTCGGACTGTAGGGAGCAGATTTTTGACCGAAGACTGGAGCCGAGCCCTGCCTTGTGCACACACCCCTGACCTTGAGCAGGACTTGTACCTCCTTTGGCTCGTTGAAAGCACACACCTCACGAGTGCTTGGAGGTCCTTGGTCCATTGCAATCCCTTCGCGCCTTTTTCGTCCAGCCAAGACATGAGTTTTGTCGATGCCGCCCGGGGCACAAGATGTGCAAGACGCAGCCGATCTACGGATCGAAGCCCAACACGGGCAGAGCTACCTCTGCCGGAAGTGAATAATATCAATAAACTATATATTGAATTATAAGAATATAGAAAATTTTATGGAAGGTAGGCTTAAAGAATTACGTATTTTTGCAATGTATATATATATATATTAATTGATTTATTATATATATTTGATAAATATTTAAATTGTAAATACATATTATTTGCTAGATATTGTATTTCATTAATTGGTAAAAATTGTTTTTGCAAAATATTTTCTTGCAGTGCATTCGTGACCTTGGCACCTGAAGCTTCCACAGCTTTAGCTGCGCAGCCCAACGCAGGCCTGTACTACTCAGGCCGGAAATGAATGAATGAATGAATGCATTTTATAAATTATTTAAGAAATCAATAAATATGTTAATATACAAATAAAATGTTCTTCTTTATATATATATTCCAAATATTAGTCTAAAATCAATTTCTAAATTAATTCAATAATTATATATCAATATAATATTATATATAATTCAAATTTTTTCGAAATAGTAATTTGAAAAACAACGTAAATATAAAACAATATATATATATACAACAGATAAGAAAATGAGAAGATAATAAACACCTAAAAAGCAATGGTATTAATAGAATCGAATCAAACATATTATGTTTCTTCATAGATTCTAATATTTCCCCAAATTTAGAATGTTCAATACCAAATAATCATCGTCGAGATATCGATATGATACATTTAGGGACAAAATAATCAAACGATTATTCATAGAATCAATCGTTATTCCAAATTTAAATTCTTAAATATCAAATAATCATCGAAACAATCCATTCAAGAATAAAGACGAATTAATATAGATTATCAATTATTAGTTCCATATTTATGTCGCAAGATCCTTTCGTAATTTCATCCATTAATATAGATTAAAATCGTAATGTATCCAATATATTTTTTACATATAATATGTAATAGTTATCCCGACAAGAGACCCCAAACAATATGTGTGTGAGGTCTGATCTCTAGACGCATTGGGAGTGAGTGTGAGTGTAAGTGAGCGTGAGTGAGCATGAGTGAGAGTGAAGGTGGGTGTTAGTGAGTGTGGGTGAGAGTGAGTGTGAGTGTGAGTGAGCGCGGGTGTGAATGAGAGTGTGGGTGAGAGTAAGCCTGCGTGAGAGTGAGAATGTGAGGGAGTGTGAGTGAGTGAAAGTGGGAGAGTGAGAATTCAA